CATGTCAAAGAACAACAACAGCCGGTTGGTGCAGTTGACACCGCGATGCTAAAACGATTGCAACAACTTAATACCGACTATTCAGCTGTGCTCAAAACGGCGAATGCGGAAGGAAGTTCTGTGAAAGCCAGAAGGCAAGCAGAGTTTGTTTTGGCTAACTTAATAGACTTCGGAGGATGCTCGTCTGCATCCCCCCAAAAAAGTCTTATTTAAAGCTAAGCATAATTTTGATTAGTGATTGAGCCTGAATTAAAGTTTGAATCTAAACTTCCTTTCATAGTGATGCAACTGTGCTGAATCAGGAAGCATCACATATGAATATGCCAGTATTTTCAGATATCAACGAGGCATCAATAAAATTCAAGAATTGTTGAAAAAAGTTGAGGCTGGGAAACCGATCGATGAAGCGGAAATTCCGGTTGCCATCCCGGCCAGTGCACCGCCAGTTCAGCCCAAACCCACGACACTTCCACCACCTATTGCACCGCGAAAGCCTTCACCTCCGGTAAGTATTGTGGATACTTTTATGGTCATTTTTCATTTCTTAGTCTTACCCTTCTGATCTCCTTATGTTTTATTTGATCCTTTGTTGAGTTTTGCTTTCAAGTTGAATCTTCAGACAACTCAAAAAAATGCATCAGCGGCAGATACGCCCTCAGGTCCTCCTCCTCCACCTCCCCACAAACCCGTCACACCTCCCGTGCCGTCTCATAAACCACCCACTACGGGTTCTGAAAGCAGTTCATCGACTACGAAACTGCCGACTCCTCCTGAGCAAGTGTTGCACGCTGCTGAACAAAACGCACAGCAGCCAACGACTGGTTCACGGAAACTGGATCTTAACCAGATTAAATCGCTACTGAAAACTCGACGTGATGCATATATCAGTAATGCTCAGTTGGCTAATTCAGGTACATTTGAATTCAGCTCGAGATTGATTTGACTCTAAATTGCCATCTAGTAAACTGGATGCCTATGTGTTACGATTGGTTTAGTAGCTTTTATGTGCATCGGAAGCTATTTCGACACTACAGATTGTGTGATATGTCTTGTTAAATATCGTTTGATCTTGATCGAAAATTTTTTAATCGAAACATTTCATCTTCATTATTCAAATATGTTGGTTCATATGTGCAAACATTCATGAGGCGAATGGATCTGATTTGAGATCGTTTTATGCAGTGTGTTTTGAAATAGATACTTGTAAATATTTCATGTCAGATGGTAACAAAACGGCCGCGTATGAATATTATACAGTGGCAAAGCAATTTGATGCAGCAATTGAGGCGGTTAAAAACGGTGAAGTAACTGAATGTGACGAAGACGAGCTGCCGCCTGCACCCACTCCATATCAAGCACAAAAAGTTGGTCCCTTCTAGTTTTTATGAATCGTTGGTTCGAAGCGAATTTCTGACTTGGTTGATAAAGAAATACGTTCAGAATGGTTTATTGTTTGAAGCATTGAATTTTCTTCAGAAAGCTGCGATTCCATCAGCTCCGAAAACACTTCTGGAGGGTTTGCAGCAACGTATGGAGAAGTACAAAAGTATATGTGATCAATGCAAGCACGATAACAATGATCGTAAATTCAGGTTTGTTAGTTTTTGTGGTTGGTTTTTCGGAGACCTCGATCGACGGTTGGAGTTTGTTGCTATGTTTTACGTAAGTAGAGCTGGACTGAATAAGATGAAACTGTTGACTATCGTAATGGACGATTCGCTAAAGCTCGATTGATAAAGTAGTATTGGCGAACTGAATCTTCATGAACTCGTAGAGGATTT